TCTCACATTCGCACTTGGATAATTGATTCCGGAACAAGTGAGCATATCATTTGCGATAGTGCAAACCTATTCAACTATTCTACTCATTTACCCAAAACAACAGTGAAAATTCCCAATGGCGAATCAGTTATGGTTTCTGCCATCGGTAGTCTTTACCTGTCTAACGCGTTCTATCTTCGTCGCGTTATTTACGTCCCACAATTTCAATGCAACCTCTTCTCCGCCAGTCGCCTCACAAGCGACTTAAATTGTACACTCACATTTTTCTTAGACTTCTGTATATTACAGGATTTATCCTCCCGAAAGCTGATTGGTAAAGGGTGAAATTCATAACGGTCTCTATTACCGAGAGTTACCTAGAAGTGAAGGGATGGCAATGACAGTTACTCTCGATTCTGATTTAGGCACCGGCATCTCGGACATGCTTCAAATGGAAAGTTACAACATATTTCATTTCTCAAAGGCTTGCAACAGAAAAATATCTTTTGTGATCCCTGCTCACGAGCTAAACAAACTCGTCTACTTTTCCCCAACAGTACAAGTAAGACTACTTGTTGCTTTGAATTAATACATTGTAATATATGGGGAAGTCATAGGTGTGACTCGACTTCAGGAGCACGATATTTCTTGTCCATCGTTGATGATTTTATCAGGGGTGTTTGGGTTTATCTTATGAAAACAAGTCTGAAGTATGTCAAAATTTGATGCACTTTTGTAATATGGTAGAAAATCAATTTGAGAGGCGAGTAAAAGGCATACGTGCAGATAACAGAATGGAATTTCAGACCAATCTTTTATCTGAATATTATGCACGGTGTGGAATAATTTTGGAAACTTCTTGCACAGATACTCCCCAACAAAATGGAGTAGTGGAGTGTAAGCATAGACATATCCTAGAGGTTGCTAGGGCCCTTCGCTTTCAGTCCGGATTACCTATTGATTTTTGGGGGGAGTGCATCCTTACTACCGTTTACATTATTAACCGGCTGCCATCACCCATTATTTTAAATAAAAGCCCTTATGAAATGTTATTTGGGAAAGAACCTTACTATGAACATCTACGCGTTTTTGGGTGTTTGGTGTATGCACACGACAACAAACGCAAAGATAAATTTAGTGAAAGGGAGGGCCCTTGTATATTTCTTGGATACCCTTATGGTCAAAAGGCGTACAAAGTGTATGATTTGCAGAAACAAAAATTTTACACCTCTAGAGATGTGACTTTTATTGAAAAAGAATTCCCTTTTAAAATGATAAATCAAGAAGGGCTTGATTTTGGGGATATAATTGACCGTGTATGTCAAAGAATCATGGGCCATAGCAGTATATATATATATATATATATATATATATATATATATATATATATATATATATATATATATATATATATATATATATATATATATATATATATATATATATATATATATATATCGACAGACCACCGCACCAGTCCATCTGAGGTTGAGAACTTCCCTCGTCGATCGAGCTACCAGCCAGAAAATCTACAGAGTCTGGAGCCAGTCGACAGCCTGGAGGACATCTGCAGCTATCCTCCCACAGAGGAGTACACGCATGGGCCCCAGCAACATCGAGGAAATCACCTTCCAAATGGTTCATGCGCTCCGGTCTGCAGGTCACATGGCGAGCTTGGGACGCGAAACAGTACACGCAAGGACAAGGCTGGTGCAGATGGCGGGCCAGGTCCTCACCTCCTCTCATCCGTCCGACAACAGGCCCCTCCAAGTACGAACGAAACTATGAGTCATCCTGGTACGAAATATAGTCCACACATAGAAGGCAAGGACGTAATGGGTGGGCCAGGCTCCTGTCCACTCTTACCCACCGGGCAGTAGGACTATTCAAATACGCATGGAACAGATCCTCTAGATCATACACCTTGTGAACGTCCCTTGCAAAATCCTTGGCAACCTAATAATTGTTTACACGAAGAGCAAAATCTGGAACCACCTTTGAGAAATGATCCACGTGACATGTTTGAACAAATTTAAGCCACAAATGAGATAAGGAGAGGCAATAGAGCTCGCCGACTCCCTAAACATCTCATTGAATATGATATTGACCTACCGCCCTCTTTGGACTATTCACAGACCACAAATCAAGGCAACTCAGCACTATATCCAATTTCTAATTTTATTGCTTATGAGAAGTTTTCTAATAAACATAAAGCATTTCTGACAGCCATCACTTCACGTGATGAGCCAAAAAAAAATTCACAGGCCATTTTAGATCCAAAGTGCTTTTCTCCACAGAGACCTCTCTGAAGACGTTTACATGCGTGTCCCTCAAGGGTTTGCTAAAAACGGTGACACTCGTGTTTGCAAATTGCAAAAATCCCTCTATGGCTTACGCCAAGCTTCTCGTAATTGGTACCACAAGTTTACTCAATCATTTCTGAATGTTGGATTTCGGCAATCGCGGGCGGACCATTTTGTTTATTTTCCAGCAAGGTGAGAACCACACTTTTGCCTTCATATATGTCGATGATGTTATACTCGCTGGAAATGATGCGTCTCATATTAGCAGAATCAAGGGGTACTTGAATGACCAATTTAGCATCAAAGACTTGGGTTCATTAACGTATTTTCTTGGAATTGAGGTGGCTCGTTCTCCCGAAGGATTTGTGCTCAGTCATCGCAAATATACACTCGACATCTTAGAAGAAAGTGGTCTCCTAGCTGCCTGCCCCAGTCAATTTCCCATGGAACAGAATTTGAAACTTCGACCTGATGATGATAGTTCGCTTGTAGATGCTTCCTCATATCGCCGCTTGATTGGGCGCTTGTTGTACCTCACTGTCACTCGTCTCGACATTTTCTTCTCCGTTAGCCAGCTTAGCCAATTTCTCATTCAGCCATGTCAGTCTCATTTGGACGTTACCATACGTGTCCTACGCTACTTAAAACACACTCCGGGACAAGGAATTTTTTTATCAGCGGACAATGATTACTCCTTGAAAGGTTATTGTGATGCTGACTGGGCAAGGTGCTCTCACACCCGTCGCTCTAGTATTGGGTACTTTCTCACTCTCGGTAGTTCCTAAATTTCTTGGAGAACAAAGAAACAGTCTATTGTTTCTCGATCTTCCGCCGAAGCAGAGTACCGTGCTATGGCCGTTACAGTTAGTGAGATTTTGTGGCTACGATGGCTACTTAGAGACCTAACGGTTTCTCAAACTAGCCCTACGCCTCTCTTTTGTGATAACCAAGCGGCACGACATATTGCACTTAACCCCGTCTTTCATGAACGCACTAAACATGTAGAAATGGACTGTTACTTTGTTCGCGAGTGTGTTAGTTGCGATGAAATCCAACCATGTTGCATCTCTACAACACACCAAATTGCTGATATTTTCCCTAAGGCACTTGGCATCGACCGTTTTCAATTCCTCAGAAGCAAGTTGGGTGTTCGCGACCTTCACACGCCACCTTGAGGGGGACTATTGAGAGTATTACACTGGTCATAATATTATTTATACGTAATGTTCCCTACCATTAAGAAATGTATACATGGGTAGCATGCTTTGCATGGCCCATGCATTATTCTCCTTTATCCTTCATTGTGATGTATTATGTATTATATATAGCACCTTACGGGACGCACAATAAAGAAAGTAGCTATTCCTTTTTTTCATGAGTTCATATGATCTCAATAACCGTTCATATTTTTATCATTAGTCTTCAGTTTTAACATTTTATTAAGGGAGAACTATCAAATAAGTCCCCGAACTTTCATAAAAAAGTGCAAATAAGCCCTTTTAGAGGAGACTTTGTCCATCTGTCGCCATTTGGGGCGGTTTCCGGTATAATTTTTTGATGATTTTTTTTAGCATCTTCTTCATTAAGTCTAGTTTACCCGTACCAAATTTCGGCTAAAAATTCAATCGAGAAGGTAGTCAAATGTTTTTTTGAAATATATTGCACTGTCTAACTGCGCAGTTATATTCAAAAATCATCAAAAAATTCCACCGGAAACCGCCCCAAATGACGACGGCCGGACAGAGCCTCCTATAAAAGGGTTGATTTGCATTTTTTATGAAAGTTCGAAGACTTATTTGATAGTTCTCCTTTTTATTAAAAATTGTCATTCAATTTATATAAAAACAAAAATTACTACTAATAAACGTCGAAATATATCACCATCATACAACAAACTATACAATACATAAATAAAAAACATAATAGATCACTATAGCTATATTAGGGAGTATTATTTACAATGTAAGAGCATCTTTAATGCTACATTGTTAATAAGGAATAAATTTTGACACATGTCAATTAATAAATGGAATGTCCATCCACATCATAGGAGAGAGATTTGGTTAGACATTGTAAGCCTTTTCTTTTTTAAAAAAAAATGAATTAAGAATAACCTTTTTGAGTTTGTTTGGGTTTCTCAGACGAGATTGTCAATTGCATTTGTAGAGGTATGATGTTCCGATCAGATCATATATTTGATATCTTTCTTTTTTAATTTGTAATTAGCCCTTCGAAATCAAAACCTTTTGTTCTCCAAGACAAATCTGCTACCTTGAAATCAATCCTTGGCTGAAGAAATATACGAGGATAGAGGTAGTGGTTTCCTTATTTATTTTGGGCAAAGTTTTTAATGAACCAGAGAACTTCCAAAACAGTCTATTTAACAATGTTAACGTTAAATGACTTTCTACATATTGCATCGGAGATGAAGATACGTTAACATTGCTGAGCCGTCAGTTTCAGTTTTTATTAATGTGAACAGTCTCCCATCGGAGATGTAAACAAATTTAAACCACAGACTTGACATTTAATGTATGTTGTGGGCGGATCAAATGTATTGCCGAGGAGTGACGGCACTGTTTAAGGACTTACTTTAGACACGTGGTTTTAGTGGGTCCGGCGCGGGCATGTTAATATACCGAGTAATTAATTAACAATTAATAATGAATAATGATGCACGCACGCACGCGCGCACGTAGGCCTAGGGTGGGTAGGTACCTGGGGGAAGGGTTTGCCTGATGAGGTCAGTTTGGAGGTGGAGCAATAGGGTAGCAGCGGCGGAGGTCCACACCGGAACCCACGACACTCCCATCTCACCCGCCGCCGCCTGCGCAAACCACATAAAAGCATCCGCCACCACGCACCCGAACCTCTTGCCGGACTCCTTTTCCGCGGCAGCGACGCTGTTTTTGAAGCTCTGCGCCGCCGTCTCTAAGAACACGCCGATCTCATCCTCCAACCCGCCGCCGGATTCAGCCACGGCATCGGCCAAGTCGGAACGCTTGATGTTACCCGGCGGCGGCGGGCTTTGATCTGCGAATAACCTGGCATTGGATTTGGCGGTGCAGAAGAACGTGAAGGTGGCGTCGGGTTCCGCCGCGGCTATGCGGCGCACCAGACGGAAGAGCAGGCTGGGGTGGGTTGCGAAGGGGAACGCCAGAACAGCCACGTGGCGCTCACTTGCCATTATATATTATGATGATGATGATTTGTGTGTAGGTGGGCAAATATATATATATATATGGTCCGTCTGAGCTGAGAATCTAATCTATGAAGCATATATATATATATATATATATATATATATATATATATATATATATATATATATATATATATATATATATACCGTAAATGGATGGATGGATGGAGTCTTGTTTTATTGCGTGTGCGCGGCGCTGGTTGGTAGAGGTAATGCATGGCTGCTTCTCATACACGCGTCCCACCCACCCTTATCCTAACCTACACATCTTTCATTCATCATGCTACTCCAAAATAAACACTAAATTACCTACCTCTTACCTATTTCCTATATATAGGACAAAAATATGCTAGTTGTGCAAGAATAGGAGTTTATATATTTTTATTTCAATATATATTTTTTTAATTTTATTCCGCACAATTTTTCCTCTTCCTCTCTCCTCTCCATTCTCTTTCTCAATTCTTCCTGCTTCATCTTCTTTTAACGAACCAATTTTTTCTCCGCCTCTCCCTTCTTCCTCTTCTCCTTGTCACTGCAATTCATCCTTACCACATATCATCCTCTCAAATGACTCCATATTTCCAACAGATCTAATAAATATAATTCACCCATCTCCGACGGATTACAATGGTTTGGACGACAATTTCATCTTCTCAACTCCGACCACCGGCAGGTGGCGGCGATTTTGCAAGTACATTTTGATTCCCCCCTCCTTCTTCGGCCTCCACTTCTTCTCCGGCCTCTTCTTCTTCTCCTCCTCCTCTTTTCCTTCTTTTAATTTTGCTTCAATATTTTTCTCCCTTTTCCAGATTTGAATCTATCAAATTTTTCTTACTTTGGTCTCGTTTTCTCTTTCAATTTTTCCTTACCTTTTGTTCTTTTAGCATTTTATTTTATCTTTTACAATAAGATTATAATTTTTGACATGAATTTCAATCAACTTTTTGTAATTTTTCAGATTACTTTTACAATTTTTGTGGCATTAATAAAAATATTACTCTTTTGTTAACGTAATACTAATAATGACCTAATTTCTATGTGCAAATATTATTTCCACGCATATTGTAAATTTAATGGCACTAATGTTACAAAGATGGCAATATAACTTCTTTGGATATACAGTAGTGCCATGTTTTTTAATCTGAAAATGTCATCTTATTCTGCGAGGATGGCAATAATGTCATTAACATGACATTATAACTGCAACATGACAATAATGTCCTTAAGATGACATTACAACTGCGAGATGACATTTAAATGATAGTCATATACCAGATCTGAGTTCAGATCTGAAATCTACCGTGGTTGGCCGGTAGAGGCGCCGAAGTTCAAGCAGATGAGGCACATTGATTTTGGATGAGGTAGTCATATCGTCGAACGTGGCAGCGATGACGCCGGAGATGGTGGCGGCAGCCGGCGGTCGGCGGCAAGGGTGCATGAGGACAGAGATTGGGAGGGTTGTGGTGCCCGTGGTGGCAGTGGCACTAACACTGGCGGTTCTGGGGGTGGTGGAGGCGGTGGCGGCTCCGATGGTGGTGGTGGTGGCGTCGCCGCCGCCGGAGGTGACACCAAAAATGTTAGTAGTGTTGTGTCAGAGGACTGTGATGGACTTATTATATATATATTTTTTTATTTTATGTTGTATTATTAATAAGTACAGAGTATATTACTTTGTTCATTAAGGGTATTGTTGTCAAGTTATCTCTTTTAAGTCCTATGGATGTAACAGAAACATTGAAGTCCCATTATTGCACTTTTAATAATTTTTAGTCCTAATTAGGGAATTATCTCAAAATTAAACAAGAATAGGAGGCAAAGACCACCATACACCATATGTCTACAAACCGGTGACAGTGAGTGCCACAAGGGTTAGGTCCCGAGTTCAAATCCCGGCAACTGCGATGAGAGGTTATTATGCTAAAAAATGCATAGGGCCTCTGCAAGTACCGGAGACAGAGCCCAACTCTCTATCTGTCAAATTGTGATTATAGTCCAACTTACATCCTCCCAACGTACCGTCTGGTCGGGGTTGGGGGCCCTCAGGGATGGGGTGTCATCCTTTTTTTCATTCATGTCTACAATAACAACAAAAATGACATTATACAAAGTACAAACTGCAAGCTAGGAACAAAATGGCTCAAAACAAAGAATAGCTAGACTGTTCTTGGAATTTCTTTGCTTGTAAGACATAATATGTATAGGTAAAAATATGGATAGATTGTCCTGCAACGGAATAGGTAAATCTGGTTGAGTTGCCCAAAACACTAAGGCAAGTTTCTCTTTTGTTTTTATAGAGCAAAATCCGCAAGAGCACATGCTCCACTCTTTAGAGTAAATAGATTTGCCTAAGTACAGAATATGAAAAGCAGTAGAGTAAGCGACATCAGAGATTTTTATAGTGGTTCAAGGAACAATATGTTTCTCTAGTCTACTGTTTCAATAAGCACCGGTAAAACTTCTGTTACAATGCTTATACACTTATCTCTTAAGAACCTCTCCATATCTTCTTCACGAGTAGTCACCTTATCACCCAAGATGCAACTCTGCTTCCTGATGATGGACCATTTCATCGAACTCCTGAAAGTATCACCACTTCACTCTGGTTACTTTGGCATCCCTCTTTTGCAAGAAGTAATTCTTTGTAGAAATCACAAAGTGTTTACTCCAACTTCTCCGCACAAGATGTGTAGATATAGATTTCAAAGTAAGTTGAAGAACGAGGATGAACTTGTGTTGAGAGTTGGCTTGGAGATATGAGTGATATTCCTCCAAGACCTCGTATGAATTCTTGTATTTGAGCGAAAGTGTTCGCTCTCAAGAATTTAAATTGCAAGAATGAAGTTCATAGTTCATCCATTTTTCTAAGTGTATCTTTAATACTAGTAGTGGTCTTCCCGTTAGAGTGAAGAACACAATTTCAATCAATTTTATGTTGTTGAATTGAGCGTGTCAGATCCAAGATTTCTTGATTATTATTCTATTTAGGGATACTATATGGCATTTAATATTATTCTCTTGGACGGTACAATCAATCATACACTTAATATTTTAACGAGTAGATAGCATTAAATGTGCAAATGAGTAAAGGAGAGTGGTTAGCATTTGTGTTGAATTATTTCCTTCAGATTGGAGCCTTTAAATCTAGGGGTGGGCACGATCCGGAACGGTTCGGTAAATTAGTAAAACCCGTAATGTATCCGTGAGGTCTTTAACGGTCTGGTACGGTCCGGTTCCAAGGATAGAACCGTTCGGTACCATGTCGTTTCAGAACGGTACAAAACGATACGGTACAATGCCAAACACATGCTAAAATTTTTGAACAAATCTTGCAATTACTAGATATCATCATACCAACCAACTCACATTACATGTTGAAATAAATACAAGAAATTGCATACCTAGTACTAAAATTCACAAATACACAAATAGTGCAATACAACTAAGAAAAAGTATAGCAAAACGATGAAGCACGAGATAAATATCATTTTTAATTTACTAAGTTCATGTGAAAATATAAAAACAAATATCATCAAATTGTTTAATATAATAGAAATCTTCAACGTTCTTCTTCTTCGTTCTAGGTAAAATATTACTCCGTAGTTCTAATTTAATTTATAGTTGAACCTTGAGAAGTAAGATTTAAACCATATTAATTAAGTTCTAAAATATGCACAAACATGATACAACAAAAAGTCATGCACACTACATTACTAGAAATAAATAATCATTAATGATTTCTGAAATTTTAATATTGTTTCAATACATACCAAAATATAACATAAATTATCTAAAAAGAAAAACTAACAATATATATAAACAACACATTTTAGATATCATAGGGACACATGAATACATACTTGGGGTATAAAATTGTTGGTCTAGATCTATTGATATAGAAAAATATAAAAAAATCAAATGCATTATTTACGAACGGTTCGGTCCGGTATTTTTTGATTCTCAAAATCTAGGACCGGTCCTGACCGTCCTGAACCCATTTCAAACGGTACGGTTTCGGTACGTGATAAAAATCTACAGAACCGTTTAAATATCCGGTATTCGGTTCGGTACCATTACGGGACAATTCGGTACCGGTTCGATTCGGGTTTTATGCCCACCCCTATTTAAATCCATCAAAATCTTTATACTTCGAGTTAAAAAATCTATGAAATTGCTGGGTCACGAGATCCATCATGATTCTTATAAATGCCACATTGAGGTTTGAGGCCCATAGAAAATTATGGAATTTTAACAAACCAGTAAACTCCTTTAAAATAATCCTAATTACGGAAAATCTTCTAAATGCTGAAAACTAAATATGAATACCTTGGTATTCAGAAATAATTAGAAACTATACTATAATTTAAGGAAATGACATTATAAAATCTAGGGTTATGAAATTAGCAAGATTCTTTCATAGAAAAAAAAACAAGGGAGAACTATCAAATAAACCCTCGAACTTTCATAAAAAGTGCAAATAAACCCTTTTACAGGAGGCTTTGTCTAGCTGTCGCCATTTGAGGAGGTTTCATGTGGAATTTTTGGATGAAATTTTTTTAGCATCTTATTCATTAATTCTAGTTTACTCATACCAAATTTTAACTAAAAATTCAATTGAGAAGGCAGTCCAATGATTTTCTGAAATATACTGCGCTACCTAACTGCGCAGTTATCTTCAAAAATCCATTTGACTGCCTTACAAATTTAATTTTTAGCTGAAATTTGATATGAGTAAACTAGACTCAATGAAGAAGATTCTCAAAAACTTTTATCAAAAAAATCCACCGGAAACCGTCCCAATTCGCGATGGCCGGGCAGAGCTTCCTATAAAAGAGTTTATTTGCACTTTTTATGAAAGTTTGAGGGCTTATTTGATAGTTCTCCCAAAAACCAATCGATTTTAGCGGCGACTTTATGTTGTCTTCTTATTCTTCGTTCTCTCCTTGCGCTTCTTAAATATTACTCCGTAATTGTAAATTGTAATGGGTTAATATTTTTCTCTTTACATGACAAAATCAACGTCACATTGTGAGTGTTTGAAAATGACAATTCACTCAACAAAAAATGACAATTTAACCCCTTTTAGCATTTTAATAAAGGAAAACGTTATTTGATAAATAGATTTTCGGCCGTAACATTTTCGGACAAACCCTGCTATGTTAGGGTTGGACTCGGGTCCGGGCCGGGTCCGGGTCGGGCCTAGGCCCGGGCGGGCCGGCGGGTCAGAAATGGTGGACCCGGGACCGCCCCGGGTAACCACCGGGTCCGGTCCGGGTCCGAGCCCATTATAATTTTTTTTTTGTTTTCCTCTTCCTAAGTAACCCCCCTCCCACCCCCAACCCCCAAACCACCCCAAATGGCCCAAAATACCCAGCCCAACCCAAAACTTTAAAAAAAATTGCAAAAAAAAAAAAATTGTTTTTGGCCCGAATCGGGCCCGGGCCCGGCCGGGTCGGGCCTTGTTTTGGGTGACCCGAGCCCGGACCGGAAAACCCACGGGCCGGGCCTACCCGGACCGGTCACTGACCGGGCCACCGGGTCGAGCCGGGCCGGAACAGTACCGGTTCCGGGCCGGTTCCAGGTCGGGCCACCCGGCCCGAGTCCATACCTATGCTATGTGCAACATTTTGGTCTTTTGGGCTAGCATTTTAAAGTATGACATTTTTTACTAATCGTTATACCAAACAACTAAATTACCAAATGTCTTTTTATAACGCGTCAACTTATTACACTAACCAAACCCACTGAATGAATCCGATATTAACAATTTGCTAACATAATCTATTAACCGCTAAATGCCTTACACGCCCATTATTTTAGCCTATTATCGCAACCACATTATTATTAGTAAAGTTCAAAATAAATACGGGGTATAAAGTCCCTTTAAAATGAGAAATGTTTGGTGTTCTATCCCGTTAGAACCATGCATTTCTCACATAGAGGGAGAGGTGCCTACTTGAATCATTGTACCCTTTCTCACACCTCAATTCAGAAGGGTCATGGAAAGAACAGGTTCAAAATCAGGATTTAAAGAGTGAAATAATATATGTAGTGAATGTTGAAGAAAAAGTACACGAAACGAGGGTAAAAATTAAAAAAAAAATAAGTATGAGAGTGGAGATTAAAAAGTAGACGACAGTATTTATCAATTTGTAGATGAAAAAACATAACTAAATAAGAAAGTGCTTAATGTAATACTATGTAAAATTAGGGGTGGACTCGGGCCGGGCCAACCGGACCGGCCCGGTGAACCGGTTGGTTGGCCGGTTCGGGCCACCCGGCCCGGTGGGATCTCGGTTCGGGCTCAGGCCCTTCAAAAGGTGAACCGGCCCGGTTTTGGCCCAGACTGGGCCAATTTCTTTTTTTTTTTTTGAATTTTTTTTTATGTTTTTGGGTTGGGCTGGGTATTTTGGGCCATTTGAGGTGGTTAGGGTTGGTTTGGGGTGATGGGGGGTTGGGGGTTAATTAGGAAAAGCCAAAAAAAAAAAATAGAACCGAGGCCCAGGCCGGTTCCATGCCTCCCATACCTTGAACCGAGGCCCGGACGGTTCAAGGCCCGAACCGAGTCCATCCCTACGTAAAATATTTCTGAAAAAGGAAAATGTTGAAAGTAAATAAATATGGAGGGAGTAGATGATAAGTAATTTCATCTTCAGTAACACAAAGTTAGAAATAAAATTAGCTAGCTGGTAAAAGTACTTAACTCATTGATTACTGAGCTACTGATCTCACGTGCGCACAATAAAATAAAAAACAAAATGCCTCATGTTCAATTTTTCGAGTATGCCAGCCCACGCGCCCGCCTGTCAGCCATATGAGTGAGTCATCATCATACCAGCTATCAAGAGAGAGATTTTGAGCTTTTGACATCCCCATCACACTTCACTTCTCTCCCCAGCCTTGTAGCCTCATAAAGGAGGACGGACAGTCTAGCACTACAGCAGAATTGCAAAGTCAATACCCATATGTACCACCCATCGTATGGCTATTTATTAATGATTTTTAAGTGTAATAATCACCCCCTTGATCTCAAATATGTTCGAGATGAATATTGGCATGAAACCAAACTTAGGGGCAAATGGAATATTTGCTCATACAGTCACACTTAATCAGTTTTTGTTTTAAATGTTTATTCAAGCACATTTTATTTATCTTTCTATGACAGACTAAGAAATACCCCCTCTGTCCCGGTCATTTCTTCCAGTTTTGACCGGTATCGCAAATTTATGCAAATTTATAAAGGGGTTGACTTATACCCTTGGTTAATAAACGGGTAAAGAAAATTAAACAAAAACAAAAAGAAAGACAGTAGACGCTGTTGAGAACCACGCCGTGAAGGCCCTCCGGCAGTTGCTGCGGCTGGAGATGGAGAGGAGAGGGACCCTCGGCCCTATCTTTCATCGAGTTGGCGACGGATGCTCTGCCATTGTTTATCCTCAGCGAGGACACTTGCGATGAAGGTGGGGGGAGACGTGAGGAGCTGGGCGGAGGAGCAACTGGCGAAATAGTGGAGCGAGCTTTGAATGGTCGCCGTTGACGGGCGGTGCTGCCGCGTCTGAGTTGGATTTGGTCAGCTGAGTCCCACTCAAGTTTGCCATGGACCACTGCGGTTGCGAATGCTATAAGCCGGAGCAACGAAAACTACGAGATTTACAGCTATGGCGGCAAGATTTGGGAGGCGGCAGGAGGTCTGAAGTCGATGGCTACTGTTCGGGCTTGGATCTGGAAATTTTTGAAGTCGGCGGCAAGATTTGGGAGGAGCAAATTTTTGAAGTCGGCGGCTACTGAGGGATGCGGACGGGTAAAGGGGAGGGGAATGGGAAAAGGTTTTTTTATTGGGGAGGGTAAAATAGGGTTTTTAGTATGAGTTGATTTCCTTTTTAGGAAAATTGGAAGAATTAATTGGGACGACCCAAAAAGGAAAACTGGAAGAAGTGACCGGGACGGAGGGAGTACAATTATATGTACAAAGAAATTTACAAAAAAAATAACAGTCTGGCATACTTTACTTTTTATTTTCATTTTTCAAGGAATAAGAAAAACAATGATAGAATAACTCTCCTTCAAATATTTGTGTTCTTCTCTTAGCATTTTAGAGCTCCAAAACAACCCAATGGTGTTATCCTTCCCTATGTCAGCATTAACATGTACCTGCTAAAACATGCACGATCATGCGCTTTTGATGTAAATGCCTTGGGCTCTGTTTGCTTTCTTGAGAATAAGCTTTGGAGAATATTTGATAGGGTATCGGTATTTAGAAAAATGACTTCCTTTTTCCTCTTGGTGTATGATCACAGGTTTATTGAAGCTCCTAGATAAGCAATAGCTGACATGGAAACATAAGAGTCCAAGTAAATTTGATTATACCTCAGAAGGTGAAGAAACAACTAATTCCCTCTCCGAATTGAAATGCGCACTTAACCTCCTGCACAATTTCAAAGAAATCAGGATTAGTTACTCACCATCACAATATTCCATCATTTAACTTGGTTCCCCACCCTCTTCTTTCACCATTCCTCATGGAGGTGAGGAAGGTTTTTCATTCTCTGAATAAAAAGACTACCTTGAACTTCATTTATAATCGAAAAGAAGAATACCTTGGCCTCTCAGAATTTGGAAGATGCTTAGACATTATTGATGCCTGCCAAGGCAGAATCATTTTATCAATCTATATCTTAGCCATAAAAAGGTGGTCTGAGAAATTAAACTAAAATGCACAAGCAAATTTTGTTGTAACAAAGCCAAAACCCTTGCAGTCTAAAAATATATATTGAGAAAGACTTTTCCAATGAAGGCAAATGACCATACTCACCATAGGTTGTGTTTAGTAAAGAGTTTTATCAGGAGCGAATAAACTTCTTAATACATATTGACTCATGTCAAAGTTGGATAAAAAGTTAACTTTGGTTCTTGCTAATAAGCTTATTAAATAAGCTGAAGAGAGTTGAATGTTAATTTACCAAACAATTTCCAAAAATAACTTTTTGATTACTTTTTTAGAAACTGAATAGAATAACACATAACCATTCATACTAGTCATGCATTGTATAATATATTATATATATAATTATATATAAAATTATATATTACATTCTTTTTTCATGAAAGGGAAAATATTATTGATGAAACAGAGAAAACATATTACAAAGAAAAGACGAAAGAGGAGAATAAAAAAACAAAAAAAAAACTAAACCAAAAGGAGAGTACTAATAAGACAAACCAACCCTAAGAATCAAGAGACCCTCCCTATAAAGAGTATTAAGTTCCAAGATATCACTCGAACTCCTCTTGTTATTGATATCTCATTCTCATGTGATGAAATAGCTAATGTTTTTTCCTGTAAATTTTTATTTGAGCATTAAGGTTTTGTGTGGGTAAGCAATTATCTTGTGTGACTAGGCAAGCCTTGTTGCATATGTTACATTCTATTTAACTATATTTAATTTGTAATTTATTACGAATTACTAATAGTCTAATGCTGTATAACAAATATTAATATACAAGTTATATGCATCGTAATATACTATAGTGTGTATCTATAGTTCTATACATACTGTATAGTGTATACGAACCATATATGTATAATATTAAAATTAAACTATGTAAAACTTTAGTGGACTACTAGTGGGTATACTTGGTGTGTAATTGCATATAAAATATATAAATATAATGGATATAAAAAGTCTCATAAAGTGATAAGTGAATAACCGATAAAAATAAAAAGCTGGAGAAGGAGGAAGGTAGTATTCAACCTAGCGACGCAGGCATGCAGCAACTTCAGGTCGTCATCAACTTTGTGACAGAGGCACGCAACAGAGAAGTAGCAACTAGCAACGCTTCGTGTTTTGGAGTCGTCAGTTGGGCTGGGCTTCTAAAAACGAATTTATTGAGATCTTAATCTCCTTGGCGTGACGCCAGGACTGCACCTGGACGACGCAAGAGGCGACTTTTCTTCAGGCGAGTCAATCTCCCCCCTATCAACCCTTCTCCATCGACAGGACATCTAGTCAGCGACTAGGTGACACCTAGGCGATGCCGTGACAAGTATATATGATGCTATTCATCGTTTTTTTGGACAACTCTTACCTAGTTTTTTTAAAAAGGTTTGAAATAAGTACAAACATAAGGGAAAATAGAGCTAAGGGGGAAAGTAGAGCCAAGGGTGAAAAAAGATTGAAATAAGTACAAATGTAGGGGAAAGAAGAAGGTGCCACAAGAAGAAGATTGAAATAAGACTGAAATCTCACTCTCTCCAATTTACATCTCCAATTTACATCTTCCTATATAACTGTCCTACAGGGACCCTCAACATGGGGTGGCATCCTTTTTTTGTAAAGGAAAGTAGACTAGTAGAGTGCTACCGAAAAAGGAAAAAAACGCAAACACAAAGAAAATGCTGAAGAGAAAAACCAATCAGCTACAATCCTCCACCGTAAATAGTCAGAGCATCCCAATCAAAGCTAACTTCCCTTTTATACAAGCACCCCTCTCCTTGGCATTAGCTCAATAAATGTGAATCCATGAGAAGCTCTCGGAGCAACGTGGTCATTTCATCATTATTCTCTTGATCATCAAGAGAAGAGTAAGATGTTGGAATATTAGAGAGAGGCTAAGATAATTGTGTAAGTAGGAAAAACTTTTAGCTAATTAGAAGAGGATGGAAGAAGAGAGAACTTGTATTTTATTGCTTGAAGATTTCTTAGCTAGATGCTTGATTACAATTGAGCATAACTACACATATTTATACTACTCACATCCACAATAAATAGTGGAGAGTTCTCTAGAATTCTCCTAATCTAGAATACTCTATTACCCCCTCCGTTCCTAAATAAACTTCCAACTTTCCTTTTTCGTCCGTTCCAATTAAAACTTCCACTTTCCCTTTTTGGTAAAGAATTTGTGGTTCACAACATTTCTTACACATTTCTCTCTCCTCTGCACAACTCTCCACAACACAATATCCATTATCTTAAACTTTGTGCCAAACCCATTTGGAAGTTAAAATGGGAACGGAGGTAGTATTAATTATTCTCTAGAAGGTCTCTAGAAGTCTCACACTCTAGAAATTTCTAGAACATTTCTCTGTAGAACACTCCTAATTATTTTGGCCCATTACAACAAATATCAATTATTAACTTAGCCCAAAATCAAGTTTACATTCTAACATCCCCCTTAAACTTGATTTCCAACTCCGAGCATTCTTCTTAATCGCTTGAAGTCTTCATGCTTGAGAGGTTTTGTAAGAATATCCGCAATTTGATCTTGCTACCTCACATACTTCACTTGGACCTCCTTATTCTCGACGCATTCACGAATAAAATGGTAGCGAGTATCAATATGTTTGGTTCGATCATGATAGACGGGATTTTTTGCAAGTGCAATGGCCGACTTGTTATCAACATAAATCTCAGTTGCATCTTCTTGCGGCATGTGAATTTCCTTCAATAATCTTCGAAGCCAAATGATGCGACATACACATGACGTAGCGGCAACATATTGAGCTTCACAAGTCGAAAGTGTCACAATGGGTTGCTTCTTTGAAGACCATGTGAAAGGCATATCGCCCATGTAAAGTACAAACCCGGTTGTACTCTTAAGGTCATCAATATCTCCGCCCCAATCGCTATCACTATAACCAAACAACTTATAATCTTTAGAAGATGAGTAAGTAAATCCAAAGCTAATCATACCTTTTAGGCAGCGTAGAATCCTTTTGGCGGCCTTCATATGGATAGACAATGGAGCTTACATATAGCGGCTAATAAGTCCCACTCCAAAAAGAATATCGGGCCTCGTACATGTTAAGTAGCGCGCGCTCCCAACCAAACTTTTGAACACAGTCGGATCAACTTTATCTCCATCGTCAAACTTGGAGAATTTTGTCCCATAATCGACTGGTGTGTCAATCGGCTTGCACCCATCCATCTTAAATTTCTTGAGAATTTTTCTTGCATAACCTTCTTGGGAAATAACTCCGCCATGATATCATTTTTTTGGTATCATGCCTATCCCAAGCCAGGATAAAGAGGAGGGTGCTATAATAGGCGTGTGACAGCCAATAGTATCACCTAGTCACATCACATGACATGAATCGAAATATGAATATCGCTAATGCTAGATCGTCACCCGTAAGTGGCGCGTCATCCCTCCGCCTGGGGGTGGTGTCAAATATGCAAGGGCGCGCTACACTTCATAGACCTGGGTCTGGTGATAAGAATGCTAAGGTTGCTAGGTCGCCGCCCGGAAGCGGCGCGTCATCCCATTGCACGGGGATGATGTCAAATATGCAAGGGCATTGTGGGGTCCGAGATGGGGCTAAGAACAGAGGTGGAGTGCTAGATTGCGTTTTGGGACATGGAATGTTGGGTCTATTACAGGCAAATCTTCCGAGGTAGTCGAGGTTATGAGGAGAAGGAATATCAGCATTATGTGTGTGCAAAAAACTAAATGGGTTGGAGAGAAAGCACGCGAGATTAATCCTGGAGGTTTTAAGTTGTGGTATTCGGGAAGAGAAGACTATAAATGGGGTAGGCATTATTGTGGCGCGTGACTATGTTGAGGATGTGGTAGAAGTCTTCAGGAAGAACGATCCCATCATGAGCATTAAATTGGTGATAAGGGGTGAGATTATGTCTGTGGTAAGTGCCTATGCACCACAAGTGGGATTGGATGCATCTACAACTCAACAGTTCTGGGAAGATCTTGAAGACGTGGTGCGACGAGTGCCAAAGGGAGAGAAGTTGATCATAGGAGGTGACCTCAACGGGCATGTGGGCTCGAGTCATGATGGCTTTAAGAGTATTCATGGCGGACATGGTTTTGGCACTAGGAATGAGGCGGGAAAGAACATTTTGGATTTTGCCTTGACGTATGAGTTGGCTATAAATGAACACTTGGTTTAAGAAAAGAGACTCTCACCTTGTAACCTATAAAAGTGGAGCTAATAGTACCCAAATTGACTACTTCTTAGTACGGACCACTTGGAGAACTAGCTACACTGATTGTAAGGTTATTCCAGGTGAGAGTGTTGTTACTCAGCATAGGATGCTTGTCCTTGACTTTCGAGATAAGAACCATAGACGACAAGTTAAACAACAAGTGGAGCCAAAGATAAAGCGGTGGAGGCTTGAGGGAGATCTTCAACAAAGCTTTACACACAAAATGGTCGGTGAAGATGTATGACGTATTGATAATGAAACACATGTGGATGATGTGTGGTTATCAATGAAGTTGACCATTAACAAAGTGGCAAAGGAGGTACTTGGAGAATCTAAAGGATGTCTGCCACCTAAAAATGACACATCTTGTTGGAATGATGAGGTGAAACAAGCCATAAGGAACAAAAGAGATTGCTACAAAAAGTTGGGGACAAGTTGGAGTGATGAGAACATAGAAGCATACAAGGAGGCTAAAAGACAAGCAAAGAAAGCCGTAAGGGAAGCACGAGGGAAAGTGAACAAGGAGTTGTATGAAAAGTTGGACTCTAAGGAAGGAGAACTAGATATTTATAGACTTGCTCGTCTTCGTGATCGCAGGACTCAAGATATTGCAAAATTTAAGTGTGTGAAGGATGTCGATCAGAGGATATTAATGGACGATGGATACACGATTCAACGGGAACAAAACGCAAGATATCGGTGATTTGTCCATACCACATTGTATGGTAAACCGTGATTTTGTGAGAAGGATCCAAACAATGAAAGTTAAAGAAGCTGTGAGGAAGATGGGACGAAAAAGAGCAATGGGGCCAGATGGCATACCGATCGAAGCTTGGAGAAGTTTTGGAGAGAGAGGCGTCGAGTGGTTAACAAGTTTCTTCAACATGATTTGGAGAAACAACCAGATGTCGACGAGTTGGAGGAAGAGTACTCTTATCCCCTTATTTAAGAATAAAGGTGATGTACAAGAATGTGCCAACTATCGAGGGATTAAGCTTATGAGTCACACCATGAAACTTTGGGAGCGAGTGATTGAGCAAAGACTTCGAAACTCTGTGAAGATTTCAGAGAATCAATTCGGTTTTATGCCTGGTCGCTCAACAATTGAGGTCATTCACCTTCTTCGGCAACTTATGGAGAAGTATAGAGACACTCATAAGGATCTGCATTTGGTTTTCATTGATTTAGAAAAGGCATATGATAGGATGCCTCGAGAAGTTCTTTAGTGGGCCTTAACTAGAAAAGGCATATCACGCAAGTATATCAGCATCATCATGGATATGTATGAGTATTGTACTACAAGTGTCCGTTCTAGTGAAGACAGGACTGAAGAGTTCCCTATTACTATCGGAGTGCACCAAGGATCGGCCTTGAGCCCTTTTTTATTTGCCATAGTCATGGATGAACTTACGAAGTCAATTCAAGATGATATACCGTGGTGCATGATGTTTGCCGACGATCTTGGTTTTAAAATGCACGAGGCGCCTTGAGGCGATTTCTTGATTTACCCGAGGCGCGAGGCGCTAGGCGGTGAGGCGCGCGCCTCACGGATCTCAACCACATTTCTTTGGTTAAATATATTTTTAGTACTTTTACATAAAGCACTCTTCTCAAAAATACTTCAAACTATTAAACAATCTTAATAAACATCATATTTTGATTCATGTCTTGTGATGTGACTAAGTGATACTGTTGGCCGTCACGCGCCTACCACAACACCCTCCTCCTTTATCCTGGCTTGGGAATTGGGAAAGCATGATACAAAAAAAAATGATCTCGTGACGGAGTTTTAATAAACATCACAAGAGAAACAAAATATTAATTAAAGACAATAAGACAGAAGAAAGAAATATATGTTTAAAGGCATAATTGCCAAAAGTCAAGTCACAAAACTCAGTCTTAAAACTTCAAAACATAATTAGCTTATATAAAACTGTAAATAGTAATTTAAATAATTAATGTAATAAACTGTGATAAATTAATAGTCATTTTGTGATAAATTAAATAATTAACTTATAAAACTGTTAATATTTTTCATTTTCATTTACCCCAGTGCCGCAAAGGCTCCCACCTACGGTGGGGTAAAGGGGGATCGGATGTACGCAGTCTTACCCCTGTACTAAAGCACAGAGAGACTGTTTCCGGAAGACCCATAGTGAAAATCGTGTCCAAAATTGCATGGACTGACTGCTGCTCCATAACAAAGAAGCGCAGACAGTTTAGTGAGCCATTTTGCTTTATTCCATTATAAAACTGTTAATATTAATTTAAATAATTAATGTAATAAACTGTGATAAATTAATAGTCATTCTGTGATAAATTAAATCATTAAGTTATATAAAAACTGTTAATAGTAATTTCAATAATTAATGTAATAAACTGTTATATAAAAAATTGTTAAAAAATGTTAATAATAATATCAGTTATCTAACTTTTTATTTAAATAAATTTAATATTTTTATAAATATATGAACTTAAAATAAAAAAGAATAAATAGCAGAAGATAAAAAAAAGACTTACCTCGCAGAAGTCAGAATAATACCAGCGCAAGACAGGAAGACAAAACGCAGAAGGGAATTGCAAGACCAGCGCAAGTCCATGAGGCGTCAAAGGCGCTCGCCTCTCAGAAGCGCAAAAGGCGCTAATAAGCGCAAAAGGCGCTCGCCTCTGAGACTCTGAGCCGCCTGGGTAAGTTAAAGGCGATAAACCCTTCGCCTGCAAGCGCCTAGCGCCTTTGCGCGCCTCAGGCGTGCTTTTTTAAACTTAGCCGACGATATTGTATTGATTGATGAGACGCAATCAGGTCTTAAAGCAAAGTTGGAAGTATGGCGACAAACATTGGAGAATAAGAGTTTCAAACTGAGTCGGAGCAAAACATAGTACATGGAGTGCAAGTTTGGTAGACGTAGAAGCAGTGGTAATAGCGGAATTACTATGGATGGTAAGGAGATACCAGTCAGCGATATGTTCCGTTACTTGGGCTCCATAATTCAGAAGGACGGTGAGTTAGATGGAGATGTATCCCATAGAATCAGAACAAGGTGAATCAAGTGGAAGAGTGTGTCAGGATTTCTATGCGACCGAGGTATGCCGACTAGACTGAAGGGTAAAATTTATAGGACAGCAATTAGGCCTGCATTACTGTATGGCATAGAATGTTGGGCGGTGAAACAATGTCACATTCAAAAGATGAGTGTGACAGAGATGTGCATGCTGCGTTGGATGTGTGGGCATACTAGGAAGGACCGCGTGAGGAATGAGACAATCAGACACAGGGTGGGAGTAGCACCTATTGAAGACAAGATGCGGGAGTTGCGCCTACGGTGGTTTGGTCATGTGCGTAGAAGACCGAGTGATGCACCTGTCAGACGAGTTGAGATGTGTGGAGAAGAGGCAGGGAAGAGAGGGAGAGGAAGACCCAAACAGACGTGAGTTAGGGGAGTTCGAAGTGATATGCTTCTTCTGGGGTTGGATGAGGGCATGACTTTGGAGAGAACTGAGTGGAGGGCGGGTATTCGCGTGAAGGAGTGATCTCGTATAATCTTTTTCTCTCATCTTTTTTTTCCTTGTTTTTTATCCTTATATATACAAGCATTATTTGTAGCCTTTTTATTTTATCATTTTTATGTATATTCATATCTTTTTATATTTTTTTATAATAGCTTATCTTTTTTATCTTTATTCTTTCTTTTCCTTTTGATTGTGATATCATGTGTCGATTCATGTTAGCCGACCCCAATATCTTTTGGGACTAAGGCTTGGATGTTGTTGTTATTGTTGAACCTTCTTGGGAAATAAATATTCCTCTATCACTTTGATTTACTTCAATTCCGAGGTAGTATGACATAAGTCCCATATCCGTCATCTCAAATTCACGGCTCATTTCTTTCTTGAAAGCATAAAACATACTTGGATTGTTACACGTGAATATCAAATCATCCACATATAAGCACACAATCAAAATATCCCCATCTTCATTTGTTTTTACATATAGGGCATATTCATAAGGGCACCTGAGAAAACCATTTTCTTAGAAGTACTTGTCTATTCCAGTATTCCAAGCTCTTGGGGCTTGTTTTAATCCATAAAGTGTCTTCTTTAATTTTAAAACTTTATTTTCTTGCCCTTTAATTCCAAATAGATTTCTTCTTCCAAATAACCATTTAAGAAAGCTGATTTTACGTCCATTTGGTACAATCTCCAATTATTTTGAACCGCAATTGAAATAAGTAATCTTATAGTTTCTAAGCGGACAACGGGAGCAAATACCTCGTCATAGTCGATATCGGCCTCTTTGCTTGTACCTTTCAATTTCTCCTTTGGCATTTTTCTTTGTTTTGTATACCCATTTAGTGCAGATAACCTTGTGCCCCTTTGGTAGCGTAGCTAACTCCCAAGTATCATTCTTCATGATTGACTTCATCTCCTCGTCCATAGCATTTTTCCACTTCTTGTCTTCTAACGCCTCTTGAACACCTATTGGTTCACAATCATTAAGAAGACAAACAAGAGTTATTTCATCCAAATTTTGTGTTACCTCATATATCTCTTGTAAGCTTCTATAACGGGAAGTTCTTTCATTTGAGCTTTCCTCGGTGGTTGATGGACTTCCTTGGATGGATGGTGAATGAGGTGGAGTGTTTGGTTCTTGAGCCGCTTGGTCATCATGCTCCTCTTGTTCTTCATTTTCATCAAAGAGCGGGAAGAAGTTGTAATTCTCATCTTTTTGAATACTCCAATCCCAAGAGGCTTCTTCATCAAATTGGACATCTCGGCTCACAATGATTTTCTTTGTGACTGGATTATATAGCTTATATCCCTTCGAGTGTTTATCGTATCCAATAAACACAAACTTCCCACTTTTATCATCAAGTTTTGAGAGTTTTTTATCAGGCACATGAACATATGGTATACTTCCAAAAACTCGAAGGTGAGAAACATTTGGTTTCTTCTTCCGCCATGCTTCTTGAGGTGTCTTGTTGTCAAGACTTTTAGTTGGACAACGATTTAAAATATACACAGCACAATCAACCGCTTCGGCCCAAAATTCTTTCGACATATTCTTGCTTTTTAGCATTCTTCTAGTCATCTCAAGAATAGTTCTATTTTTTCTTTCAACCACTCCATTTTGTTGTGGTGAATATGGAACCATTAAAGGACGGCGAATCTCATTATTTTCACAAAATTCATTAAACTCATTTGATGTAAATTCACCTCCTCTATCGGATCTGTTGATAAAACGAAGAGACATCATTAATCTAGGATTTATTTTCCTTATTATTACTGTAATTATGTATCTTTAGTGCTTCAGGTTGTATTTAATAGCTGCTGTCTTTTCAGTTCTCAATCATTTATGTTTTGTATTTAGACAGTCACCTAGGGTGCTGAATAGACTCTCTCAGGATTCCTATCTGTATAAATAGCTTATGTACTTCTTGTAAATGAATTCAAGGAAATAACCATTGGAATAGGGTGCTGTATATTACAGGATCTTCACACGGGGAGGACGATTGGAATTGCTAAACAAAGAGATGGCCTGTACTACCTTGATGCACTGTTTGTCTCCAAACCTCCACAAAAAGCTCTTACCACAATCACAGCCAATACCAACACTATTTGGCGTCACCACAAGCGCCTTGGTCATCCCTCTTTTCATGTCCTAAAAACCATGCTTCCTAGTCTTTTTAGTAGTATTGATGTTTCTACATTTCAATGTGATGTCTGTGAACTTGCTAAACAGTCTCGTGTATCTTTTTCTAGAAGTAATACAATCAGTTGTTCTTCTTTTGATATTATACATAGTGATGTCTGGGGTCCTGCTCCAATTGCTAATATATCTGGTGCCTGGTGGTATGTTACATTTATTGATGATTGTACACGTTTTATGTGGGTTTTTCTGCTAAAAAACAAGAGTGAGGTGAGTTCCATCATTCCTATCTTTTGCAATATGATTCATAATCAGTTCTCCACCACAATAAAACGCTTCTGCACTGATAATGCTCTTGAATACTTCAATCAAACTGTTTCCTCTTATTTCCTCTCAAAAGGCATTGTTCATGAGTCCTCTTGTCCGTACACACCACAACAGAATGGCACAGCAGAAAGAAAAAATCGCCATCTCCTAGACGTCAGTCGGGCTTTATTGTTTCAATCAAATATGCCTAAACACTATTGGGGGGAAGCCACACTCACAGCATGTCATCTCATCAATAAAATTCCCAGTCGGGTACTCCAAAATAAGTCACCCCTTGAATCTCTCCGTCACTTCTTTCCTCAAACCAGAATTTCTTCTGATCTTGATCTAAGGGTGTTTGGGTGTACTGCATTTGTTCATATTCCTCCACCTCATAGGGGAAAATTGGACCCACAATCTATTAAGTGTATCTTTCTTGGTTATTCTCCAACTCAGAAAGGATATAAGTGTTATAATCCTACAACCAGAAAGACATACACCAGTGCAAATGTGACCTTTCACGAAGACACACCTTTTTACACTCCTACTTCTCTCCCTGTATCCCAAGATACTCCACATCCTTCACCTCTGCCCACCTATAGTATTACATCTTCTCCACCACATACAATCTCCTACCCTCCTAAGCCTTTATCACCAGACATCCCATCACCACCACCACCACATGATCATCCATCACCTTCCTTAGATGTGTCAGCAACTTCACCTACTTCCCAACAGTCTTCAACATCACCTGAACCTCAATCAAATACACCACCAGATCATCCCATTCCTACACCTACTAAATCCACCACTCATGACCCATCTTCTCCTCTACCAGTGACAAAAGTGTACTCAAGGAAAAACAGGTTCACTCCATTGTTGACGCATGACCAATTGGCTGACCCAGGTAATGTCTCTTCTTCTCCACCACCATCTCCGCCAATTGCTTTACGCAAGGGTGTACGTCAATGTACCAAAACACCTCTATACCCTCTTGCTAATTTTGTTACCATTGATAACTTCTCTCCTTCACATGCCTTGTTTGTTCAGAGACTTAATGAAATTCCCATACCCAACTCTGTTTCTGAGGCATTAGGAAAGAAAGAATGGAGGGATGCTATGCAAGAGGAAATTAGAGCTCTTGAAAAGAACCATACTTGGGATATTGTGACTAAACCTCCTGGGAGGCATGTTGTTGGATGCAGGTGGATCTTTACTGTCAAATACAAGGCTGATGGATCTCTTGAGCGGTACAAAGCTCGTCTTGTGGCTAAAGGATACACTCAGACGTATGGGATTGACTATCAAGAGACCTTTGCTCCTGTAGCTAAGCTCAATACTGTCTGTATCCTACTATCCTTGGCATCTCACTTTGATTGGCCTTTATTGCAATTTGATGTCAAGAATGCTTTTCTCCACGGTGACTTGCATGATGAGATCTACATGTACATTCCCCCAGGCTTTAATAAAACATCAACAAGAACCTCTACACATGTATGTCATTTAAAAAAAGCCCTCTATGGTCTCAAGCAATCCCCTCGTGCTTGGTTTGACCGCTTCACACAGGTTGTTCTTGCTGCTGGGTATAGTCAAAGCCAAGGGGATCATACTCTTTTTTACAAACACTCTCGCCCAAATGGAGTCACTATTCTTTTGGTATATGTGGATGACATCATTGTGACGGGTAATGATCCAGTTGAGAAACAACGTCTTGAGGGGCAGCTGAAATCCAAATTCGAGATGAAGTCTCTTGGCCCTCTAAAATACTTTCTTGGAATTGAAGTTGCTCGCTCATCTGAAGGCATCTTTATCAGCCAACAAAAGTACATTACAGATTTGTTAAATGAGACCGGTAAGAGTGCTTGTCGACCGGTTAATGCACCTATGGATCCTAATCACAAGCTTGGACTTGCTACTGATGAACCCAAGGTTGATTCATCAATGTATCAGCGCTTGTGTGGCAAACTTATCTATCTCTCTCATACTAGACCTGACATTGCCTATGCAGTTAGTGTTTTGAGTCAGTTCATGCATGATCCAAGGAAACCACATCTAGAAGCAGCCTATAGGGTTCTTCACTACCTAAAAGGAAGTCCAGGGCAAGGGATAATATTCAGGAAGGGTGGGCAATTATCAGTCCAAGCCTTCACTGATGCAGATTATGGTGGCTCCCTCGTTGACCGCCGGTCAACTACTGGTCTCTGTGTTTTCCTAGCAGGAAACCTCGTGACATGGAGAAGCAAAAAACAGAATGTTGTGGCACGATCATCTGCTGAATTTGAGCTAAGAGCTCTTGCCCATGGCTTATGTGAACTTCTATGGATCAGAATTATTCTCTTAGATTTACGAATCAAGTGGAAAGGACCAATGGAATTGAGGTGTGATAACAAATCAGCAATCAACATAGCTCATAATCCAGTCCAACATGATCGGACCAAGCATATTGAGATTGATAGGCACTTTATCAAAGAAAAGGTTGAAGGAGGTCTGATCGAACTAAGCTACACTCCCTCAGAAGATCAAGTTGCAGATGTGTTTACCAAACCTCTGCACAGTCCTAGGTTCCAGGGTCTTATTGTCAAGCTAGGCATGACGGATATCTACAAACCTAGCTTGAGGGGGAGTGTTGATAAAACGAAGAGACATCATTAATCTAGGATTTATTTTCCTTATTATTACTGTAATTATGTATCTTTAGTGCTTCAGGTTGTATTTAATAGCTGCTGTCTTTTCAGTTCTCAATCATTTATGTTTTGTATTTAGACAGTCACCTAGGGTGCTGAATAGACTCTCTCAGGATTCCTATCTGTATAAATAGCTTATGTACTTCTTGTAAATGAATTCAAGGAAATAATATTCAGAAAACTTCAGGATCTCATAGCTTGTATTTCATGCCGAACTTCCTTTTCTACAAGGGCCTTAAATTTTTTAAATGACCCAAAAACTTCCAACTTTTTTTTTTAGAAAATAGACCTAAGTTTTTCTAGAATAATCATCAATGAAAAGAAGAAAATAGTTATTCTTTCCGTATGAACTTGGTTTAATGGGTCCACAAACATCGGCATGAATTAATTCCAAGGGCCTCTTAGCTCTAAAATTTGATTCTTTTAGAAAACCTTTTCTTGCATGTTTTCCTAAAAGACACCCCTCATACAATTGATTTGGATGATTTATGACTGGCATCCCATCAACCATTTTGGTTCTTGATAATAATTTTAATCCACCAAAGTTCAAGTGCCCAAACCTTAAATGCCATAACCACGAATCATCTTTTAAACATTGAATGTAAGCATTTTGCTTCATCGTTTTGGATCTCCAATAAAAACATTCTATTATTTGTCATTGGCACTTTGGTTATTAATCTTCCTTCACATCTTAGAAAAAGATTATTATCTTTTAGATTGATATCATAACCTTTTTCAAGAAGTTACCCCAAACTTAAAATATTATTTTCAAATTGGGCACATAATAAACATCGGAAATAAATTGGTGACTACCATCTTTTAGACAGATGAAGATGTTACCCCTTCCTTCCACCGACACATTTGACTCGTCTCCAAATGTGACTTTTCCATTGGCTTGTTTAATATCCACGAACATGGTTTTATCACCGGTCATGTGGTTGCTTGCGCCGGTATCTAACACCCACACACTTTTTCTTTCTCTCTTTAAGATCATGTGCCATCAATAAGGTAAGATCAACTTCATCCTTGACTTGGTTAAACTTTTCTTCCACTTCACAGTAATTTGCCTTGCAATCGGAAGCGAAATGACCAAATTTATCACAATTATAACATCTAACTTGTGATTTTTCATACCTTTGGTATCCGCCTCTTCCACGACCTCTTGTCGGCTTGAAGTGTTGTTTTTTCTCTTCTTCGTGTTCTTGGTGATTTTCACCGTGTCCCCTTCCTCAGCCTCGACCTCGTCCACGGCCCCTAGCTCCCCCCTCTTTAACCATCATCTCTTTTGAATGAGAGTTGTGTATAAAGTGCTTGCTCTAACGGATATTGCACTTTCTTCTTTTTCATTTTTTCTTCATGGGCCACTAGTGATTCGTTAAGTTGGTCTATAGTCATCGAGTCTATATCATGTGATTCCTCAATAGCCACTACCACATGCTCAAAATTTGGAGTCAAAGAGTGAAGAATTTTTTCTACCACTCTAGTATCTTCCAAATTTTCTCCATTCCTCCTTAGTTCACTACTACCTTCTCAACTCTATCAAAATAATCAGAAATAGACTCGGATTCCTTCATTTGAAGAGACTCAAACTCACCTCTAAGTGTTTGGAGACGAACGTGTTTTACCCTATCGACTCCACGATATGTATTTTGAAGAATCTCCCAAACTTGCTTCGAAGTAGTTGCATTTGCAACCTTTACAAGTTGATTGTCATCCAAGCATTGATGAATGAGAGTCATCGCCTTTTGATCCTTCTCCTGAGCCTTCTCTAATGCATCCTTTTGGAGTGCACTAAGAGTACTTTCATCCTCCGATTCAACGTAGCCATTCAGCACCAAATCTCACACCTTTTGTGAGCCTAGTATTGCCTTCATTCGGATGCACCAAGTACTACAGTTATCTTTGGTTAAGCGAGGAAATTGAAAGGATTACATCCCGTTAGCCATGGCTCTAATATCAATTTGTTGGAATATTAGAGGTAGAGGCTAACTCCGCTATGATATCATTTTTTTGGTATCATGCCTGTCCCAAGCCAGGATAAAGGAGGAGGGTGCTGTGGTAGGCGTGTGACGGCCAACAGTTTCACCTAGTCACATCACATGACATGAATCGAAATATGAAAATCGCTAATGCTAGGTCGTCACCCGTAAGTGACGCGTCATCCCTCCGCCTGGGGGTGGTGTTAAATATGCAAGGGCGCGCTACACTTGATAGACCTGGGTGTGGTGATAAGAATGCTAATGTTGCTAGGTCGCCGCCCAGAAGCGGCGTGTCATCCCATTGCCCGGGGATGATGTCAAATATGCAAGGGCATGGTGGGGTCCGAGATGGGGCTAAGAACAGAAGGTGGAATGCTAGATTGCGTTTTGGGACATGGAATGTTGGGTCTCTTACAGGGAAATCTTCCGAGGTACTCGAGGTTATGAGCAGAAGGAATATCAGCATTATGTGTGTGCAAGAAACTAAATGGGTTGGAGAGAAAGCACGCGAGATTAATCCCGGAGGTTTTAAGTTGTGGTATTCGGGGAGAGATAAGACTAGAAATGGGGTAGGCATTATTGTGGCGCGTGACTATGTTGAGGATGTGGTAGAAGTCTTCAGGAAGAACGATCGCATCATGAGCATTAAATTGGTGATAAGAGGTGAGATTGTGTCTGTGGTAAGTGCCTATGCACCACAAGTGGGATTGGATGCATCTACAACTCAACAGTTCTGGGAAGATCTTGAAGACGTGGTGCGACGAGTGCCAAGGGGAGAGAAGTTGATCATAGGAGGTGACCTCAACGGGCATGTGGGCTCGAGTCGTGATGGCTTTGAGAATATTCATGGCGGACATGGTTTTGGCACTAGGAATGAGGCGGGAAAGAACATTTTGGATTTTTCCTTGACGTATGAGTTGGCTATAATGAACACTTGGTTTAAGAAAAGAGACTATCACCTTGTAACCTATAAAAGTGGAGCTAATAGTACCCAAATTGACTACTTCTTAGTACGGACCACTGGGAGAACTAGCTACACTGATTGTAAGGTTATTCCAGGTGAGAGTGTTGTCACTCAGCATAGGATGCTTGTGCTTGACTTTCGAGGTAAGAACCATAGAAGACAAGTTAAACAACAAGTGGAGCCAAAGATAAAGTGGTGGAGGCTAGAGGGAGATCTTCAACAAAGCTTTACACACAAAATGGTCGGTGAAGATGTATGGCGTATTGATAATGAAACACGGGTGGATGATGTGTGGTTATCAATGGAGTTGACCATTAACAAAGTGGCAAAGGAGGTACTTGGAGAATTTAAAGGATGTCGGCCACCTAAAAAGGACACATCTTGGTGGAATGATGAGGTGAAACAAGCCATAAGGAACAAAAGAGATTGCTACAAAAAGTTGGGGACAAATTGGAGTGATGAGAACATAGAAGCATACATGGAGGCTAAAAGACAAGCAAAGAAAGCCGTAAGGGAAGCACGAGGGAAAGTGAACAAGGAGTTGTATGAAAAGTTGGACTCTAAGGAAGGAGAACTAGATATTTATAGACTTGCTCATCTTCGTGATCGCAGAACTCAAGATATTGCAAAAGTTAAGTGTGTGAAGGATGTTGATCAGAGGATATTAATGGACGACGGAGAGATAAAAGAGAGGTGGAGGTCATACTTTGATACACTATTCAACGGGAATAAAACGCAAGATATCGGTGATTTGTCCATACCAGATTGTATGGTAAACCGTGATTTTGTGAGAAGGATCCAAACAACGGAAGTTAAACAAGCTCTGAGGAAGATGGGACGGAAAAGAGCAATGGGGCCAGATGGCATACCGATCGAGGCTTGGAGAAGTTTGGGAGAAAGAGGCGTCGAGTGGTTAACAAGTTTCTTCAACATGATTTGGAGAAACAACAAGATGCCAACGAGTTGGAGGAAGAGTACTCTTATCCCTTTATTTAAGAATAAAGGTGATGTACAAGAATGTGCCAACTATCGAGGGATTAAGCTTATGAGTCACACCATGAAACTTTGGGAGCGAGTGATTGAGCAAAGACTTCGAAGGACTGTGAAGATTTCAGAGAATCAATTCGGTTTTATGCCTTCCGTTCTTTTGTGATTTTGCTGCAGACTCTCTTTGAAGTCCAATCATCTTCCAGGCCTCCTGTCTGAAGGTAATATGTCGACCGCCTTGTGGAGCCTAGGACAAGATTGGGATTACAGTGGACGAAGAACCGGACGGGTCCGATGAGGCTACAGATGCGGTAGACAACTAAGGCTCCAGCGATGATGACACATTTTTTCAAGCTACGCACCGCAACAGAAATTTGATTTGAAGGCTATCTAATGGCAAGTACTTTCTAATTACCACCACAAAGGGATACTACCATCCCCAAAGCATCAAGTTCACAAGGCACGCTGTGCATCCTTTCAAGACATGGTGGTGATCCACTTCGAGTTCATGGTGGCCTAGTTGAGGTTCTTCAACATCTGTTCTACTCGCATCCAAACTTTTGTGGAATGGTATTGGCCTAGTTTTTTGTCAAACACTTTCAGGGTGATAGGCGGATTCGTGATCCAATGCAAGAAAGTGGATATAAGTCTTTGACCTCTTCCTCAATATTTCCCAAATCTCCCCTCAGTACAACGAGGGATACTTGAGTATCAACGCCCGGGCAGGTCGGGTGATCATAGGGAACAATAAGTCTTACAAAAACTTCTAGAAGAAGAAATTCTTTTACGTCTAAGTTTCTGAGTGTTCGTTCATGAATCAATTGAATGCATTTCCACCAAAAGCGGGTGAGCAGAAACTGGCAGGCGGGTTTGATGAAGCCATTGAGAAGATCAATGTGGTCGGCATCGTGCATAACGTAAGCTATGTGAATCTTGAGTGTCTTGCATAGGCAGTGCTTGGCATCCTGGATCGCTTCTGACAACACATCTTCATCCTCAAGTAGTGTCTCTGAGTCGTTCTTGCACGGTAACCAAGCCTTTAATTCAATGAGAAGCTTGAACTCAGACTTGAGCAAGAGCGTGGCCACCAGGTCGAGCAGCGCTGGGCTTGCTCGCCCATGTAGACATAGTATTTATTTTCATAGCACACCCTCAACTAAGCCCCCCCCCCCATTCAGAGCATGGCCACTAGGTCGGGCAGTGTTGTACTCACTCATTCGTATGGATTTAGCATGTTTTGTAGCATACTAAAACTTCAGCTAAATCATGGTCACTGGATCAGGCTGCGATGGGCCTGCTCGCCCATATGAATTAAGTGACATTTTTATCATAGCACACTCTCAAACTGAGCCCCTCATTCAGCGCATATCTCAAACTCAGAATTTAGTCTGAGTTTAGCCACCACCAACCGGGGCCGGACGGCTCTGGTCTCACTCTCCAATATAGACTTATTAATTTTTTCTCAACTCAATTCTTTTTCTCAAACGGTAGGCTTTATTCATAACTATTGGCTTTTACATTATTGCAATAACTTTCTTAAGTTGTCAACATTCCAGCTACTAGAACACCTTCCCTTGTTTTATGAAACTTTCCACCTTTAGTGGCTTACTCTTTCCCCTCTTCCTATAAACCAAATCCCCATCCCAAAACGCCAGGACTCTGACTTGTACGTTGAAGTAAGTTTGTGTAACCTGAAGTTTTTTTCCTGTATATTATTATTTTGTAACCTATTTCCATCATCCGCGATGGAGTCAAAGAAGCACTGTTTTTTGGCTTGGCAATATGATGGAATAAGGCAAAGGGAGATTTGGCAGAATAGGAGTAAATGGAGTTTGGAATTCCAAAATGGGACTACTATGTTTTTATTCCCAAAATATGACTAACATGGCAGTATTTACTGCCATCTTGTAGACGTGACTGTCAAATAGTTGCAGTACAGTGCATTTAACATGACAGTATTTATTATAATTAATGTCAGTATTTTTCAATCATGACAGTATTTTTCATACATGACAGTAACAACTCCTATTTCGGGAATAAAAACATATTAGTCCTATTTTGGAATTTCAAACCTCATTTACTCCTATTTAGGGCAATTTCCCTAAGGCAAAATATGCGCTTCTTTCTTATGAATCGGCAATTGGTCCATGCAATTTTCGACGCGATTTCCACTATGGGCCATCCGGAAACCATCTCTCTGTGCTTTAGTACAGGGGTAAGGCTGCGTACATCCGATCCCCTTACCCCACTGTAGGTGGGAGCCTGGGAGCCTTTGCGACATTGGGGTAATGATGGTGATTATTACTATTATTATTGTTATTTTGTAACCTGAATTTTATGGGTTTTTTTCTAGCTGAAGCCTGGAAGGGTCTAGTACCCTAAGTGATTGTCTGAATAGTGAACATAAATGAATACAAACTGAAAAGACAACAAATATTAATTACAACTGAAGCACTAAAGACTTATAATTACAGTAATAATAAGGAAAGTAATTCCCTGACTAATGATGTCTCTCCGTTTTAAAAATATCCTTTATGCCTAGCTTGATAATAAAACTCTGAAACCTAAGACTATGCAGAGGTTTGGTAAACACATCTGCAACTTGATCCTCTGAGGGAGTGTAGCTTAGTTCAATCAGTCCTCTTTCAACCTTTTCTTTGATTAAGTGCCGATCAATCTCACTATGTTTGGTCCAATCATGTTGAACTGGATTATGAGCTATGTTGATTGCTGATTTGTTATCACACTTCAACTCTGGTGGTCTCTTCCATCTAACTAAGACAATAACTCTAATCCATAGAAGTTCACACAAGCCATGGGCAATGTGTAGAGGTATTATTGATGTTTTATTGAAGCATGAGAGAATGTGCATGTAGATCTTGTCACGTAAGTCACCTTGTATGAAAGCGTTCATGACATCAAATTGTAGTAAAGGTCAATCAAAGTGAGATGTCAAGGATATTAGGATACAGACAATATTGAGCTTGGTTACATGAGCAAAGGTCTTTTGATAGCCAATCTCATACGTCTGAGTGTATCCCATGTATGGTTCTTTTCAAGAGCTCTAATTTCCCCTAGTATGCATCCCTCTATTCTTTCTTTCCTAATGCGTCAGAAACAGGGTCGGGTATGGGAATTTCATCAAGTCTTTCTGGTTGTAGGATTATAGCACTTGTATCTTTTTTGAGTTGGAGAGTAACCCAAAAAGATATACTTAATAGATCATGGGTCCAACTCCCCCTACGAGGTGGAGGAATATGAACACATGGAGTACCTTCAAACACCCGTAAATCCGTAAATCACGATAAGAAGAAATTATGGTTTGAGGAAAGAAGCGACAGAGATTCAAGAGGTGACTTATTTTGGAGTACGCGACTGGGAAGTTTATTGATGAGATGACATGATGTGTGTCTTCCCCTAGTAGTGTTTAGGCATATTTGATTGGAACAATAAAGCACGGCTTACTTCTAGGAGATGATGATTTTTTCTTTCTGCGGTGTCATTCTATTGAGGTGTGTATGGACAAGAACACTCACGAACAATACCTTTTGAGAGGAAATAAGATGAAACAGTTTGATTGAAGTACTCAAGGGTGTTGGGTTAATAGGCTCGGTTGCAGGTCGGACCATTACCCACTAAACATGGAGACCATCAGGGCCCATATTGGGTACGGCCCAACAAGACTTGGCAGACGCTCGTCGAATGGACCACGGGGAAGACGACGCTCATCCTAGGAGTCCAGGGTCCCACAAGGGACAGATGATATTCTGGGATCCTCGGGTGCAGTGCACACCGGCCGTACGGATCCTCTTCCTTGCAGGGTTCTAGGCCCTACGGGTTGGCCCTGATCCACCAAGATGTCGTCAAGACGCTCGGCCTCAGTGGCCTTTACCCAACGAGTGTCAGATGACACTCTAGGGTCCTCGTTCAAGTAACTGGATGAGCCGCACGGAGCGCAGCCCTTGTACCTCAAGATCCATTAGCTCAGTTCAAGGGATGCTCATCCAGGGCCTATGCAGGAAATAAAGATATTGGCGGGAGTTGCATTTAATGTAGTAGATTTGGTGGTTAGAAGCTGGCCATCCACAATCCTCCACATCAGCAATACCATTTGCTAGATGGGGGGTCGATCTGCTCAGGCCGCTGCCCAAGACGACCGGAGGACGAAAGTTCATAATCGTGGTCATCGATTATTTCACCAAGTGGGTAGAGGCCGAGCCATTGGCCACCATCACCGAGTATCAATGCCAACGTTTCGTCTGGCAGAACATCTTGTGTCGCTTCGGGATTCCGGAGCAGATCATCACAGACAATGGACGGCAATTCATCGGCAAGGGGTTCAAAGGTTTCCTGGCCAAATTGGGAATCAGACATTCCAAGACCTCTGTGGCATACCCCCAGGCAAACGGTCAGGTGGAGAACATGAACTGAACCGTCATGGACGGTATATAAAAGAAATTGGAAGATTATGCCTCCACCTGGCCAGAGCAGCTGAACTACGTCCTGTGGACGTACTAAACGACTCTGAGGACGGCCACCGATGACACTCCCTTCGCGTTAACGTACGGTTTCCAGGCCAAGGTTCCTACTGAGGTGCTCATGCCGACTCACCAAACGACGCATTATGAATCTCAACAAAATGAGGCAACGCTGCGTGCGGAACTCCACTTCATAAAGGAACGGAGAGACCTCGCCGCGCGTTAGATGGAAGAATATCATTGAGCCACCCAGCGCTACTTCAACAAAGCAGTAAAAATCAGGGCCATCGAGGTCGGAGACATCATGTTGAGGAAGCGAGAGAAGAGCAAGCCGTTTGAGGGTGAAAATGGCCAAAAACTGGGAAGGCCTGTACCGAGTGGAGAAAATTTGCACACGAGACGTTCTTACTACAAACTACGGAAGGACGCGGAGCGGGCATATGGAATGTAGAACACTTGAAGAAGTTTTACCAATAGCGGCCGTTGGCCAGATTCACTCCCAAAAAGGGGGGGGGGGGGCATAACTCCCGGAACTTGGGGGCTCCGGATCTGGTTGTTGACCGTGGACGAGGAGTGGTCCAATCTTTGGTCGAATCACCAAGTGCTTGATGCAGTTCGTCCCTGTGGGACGAGCTGAGAACTTGCTGACTAGGTCGTTGACGAAAATTTGGGGGCTCCGGACCCGGTCGTTGATCGTGGATAAGGAGTGGTCCAGTCCTTGGTCGAATCACCAAATGCCTGATGCAGTTCGTCCCTGTAAGGGAGCTGAGAACTTGCTGACTAGGTCATTGGACGAAAACTTGGGGGCTTCGAATTCGGTCGTCGATCGTGGACGAGGAGTGGTCCAATCTTTAGTCGAATCACCAAGTGCCTGATGCAGTTCGTCCCTGTGGGATGGTTGAGGACTTGCTGACTAGATCGTTGGACGAAAACTTGGGGACTCCAGATCCGGTCGTTGACCGTGGACGAGGAGTGGTCCAATCCTTGGTCGAATCACCAAGTACCTGATGCAGTTCGTCCCTGCGGGACGAGCTGAGCACTTGTTGACTAGGCCGTTGGGCGAACACGCGCAGGTTCTGGTACAGCTCGGCCCAAAAGGCCATGTTGAGAACTCGTTGGACATAGCGTGGACGAATGGAAAAGAAATGAATGACAAAAGATCGAGGATTAAAGAATGCTCTTTATTCTTCGACTCTATCGGCGGGGAAAATACAACGAATAATACAAATACAGATGTTAAGGGGGGGGGGGGGGGGATATATTAGGCCTGATTGCCGCCCGGCGTGGTGTCCTTTGATGCTGCACCCCGGTTCCTCTTGATGAGCTTCAGAGCTCCCTCATAAGCTTTAACAAAAAAGGAGTCAAAACCAGCGGCCTCAAGGTTGAAAAGTGACGTTTGAAGATTGGCAGATTCTCCTCGACGAGGCAGACCATGCCTTTGGCGAAGGTGTCATCGGCCAAGTCCGTAAGGAACCGCTGACCGGTGGGAGAACCCTTGAGCAATTCAATGCCGGCTAGGTAGGGCTCCTTGCTCTGTTTCAAATGCTCCCCAACGAACCGGGGCAGGAACTTCCGTGCTATAACCCGCAGAACTTCCTGAAAAGTAGTGGACCTCTGGAACTCGACAGAACCAGCAACCTTGATCTTGGACACATCGGCCTCAAACGCAGGGGCTGCCCTGTCAGCTCCAACCCGACGAACGATCACGCCGGCATTCTCAGCAGCCGCCAATTGTGCGCGGAGCATCCGTAACTCTTCATCTTAGCTTTTGAGCTTCTGCAGTATCCGCCTTCTCCTCAAGACGAGCCACGCAGCCCTTGGCATTCTTAATCAGATCATCGGCCTCTGCCTTCAGCTTGACCATGGCACGGCCCAGTCGCTCGTAGGCTCTTCTGGCCTTATTAAAATAGATCATGGCTTTGATTAGCTCACTAAGGCCACTTTCAAGCAGGTCCTCGGGCTCCTCGTATGCTGCAAAGTCGGATCGCATCTTCAGCCCGAGGGTGCACCATACGGAGGAGGCCGTTTGGCCAAACAGCATCCTCGACTCAGAACATGGCCCAACCCCGGAGAATTCAATGAGCCCCGGGGTGAGATTGTTGATCTCCGATGAGGAAGAAGGACGAGTTACATCTTTCTTGGAAGGGATGGTCGCCTCATCATCTGACACGTCCAACAGGACTATGGCTTTGGAGGCATCATCATCACGCGAACTCTTGTGTGGACGCTCAGCTTCAGAATGCGATTGGGATCATGATCGGGTCACTAGACATTCAGCTTCCACGATTGTTTTTCCCTTATCTCTATCTTGACGACCAGGGATAGAATGAATGTTGTTGTTACGACCCATAGCGGGAGGATTAACGTAAACACCTGCAAGGGGAGAAACACAATTAGAATCATGAAAAAAACGCAAAGACCCGAAACCCTGAGCTGTAATTGGACGTACCTATCCCGTCTTTCACCTTGAGGAAATCGACCATGTGCAGCCGAAGGTTTTGGGTACCAAGACCAGCAATACGACAGCTCTTCATCGGTCAGGGTTGGAGAGTCAAGCTTGACCGGATAACGGTTCCACTGATCCGAAAAAGGCATCAAGGAACCCGCTTCAGTGAAAAAAGAATTTACTCTCTCAGCCCTCCGGGTTAGGACCATTGTTGGAAAAGAGGAACCTTTAAGGACGGGCGGTCAGGCCAAGATAACCTGTGCGCCCGAAGGGTGAAACTCGGAAGAAGTGGAGGAACAAGTCCATTGTGAGGACAACCCATACACTATGGCAACGAATGATGAAACTAGCGATGATTCTGTAGGAGGCCGGTACGAGCTGCACCGGAGCGATCTTGAGCTCTCTAAACAGTTTAATGTGGAAGGGGTGTAAGGGAAAGGTCAAGCCGACTATCAGTTTAATGTAGAACCATTGGCTGATCATTTTGATTTTAATTAGAAATAAGCATTGACGGTGACGCCGGATGCAATGAAAATTAAGGGAATAATGGGGGGGCAATTGGGCATTCCCCGTTCATAAAATTCCAGATCATCTCCGAAGAGACAACCATCATCCGCCTGATCATCCGGACGAACGGAGACGGACGACGAGCTGCCCCGAGTACTTTGGGCAAGCTCTAAGGTTTCAGGTTGGGAAAAAGCCGAGGGCCCCGGGTTATCAGACATGGGGGTCGTTTGGATATAAGCTTTTTATCCGAACCGCCGATCCTTTTTTTACTCATGAAACGCTGCATTTATCAGCGATTGGGGGGAGAAACCACCGAAAGGCAAACGGCCCCATGGTAAGGTTTAAATGAGCCGAGCTAGAGACTTACTAAGGACGGAGTAAGAATAGAAAGAGGGAGGAAAGTGGCAGAGTAACGGCAGGAGTTAGAGATTATGGCTGGTTTTTTGAAACCAGGGGTACTTATAAACATCGCCACCTAGCCCCCAATCAAGAAGAGACACGTGGTGGCATATGACGAGTGGTCCCTGCGGTTGAAGCGTCTCTTTGATACCCGTGACGGAACAGGTGGAATTTTAGGTGTTAGGTTGAAAGTTTTCAATCATTCGGGTCATATGTCGATGCATTTCATCTTCCAATTCCCTAATTGATAGTTCATTTATCTTTTAGGTCCTGAATTGATAAAAATTCATTAAAGGAACATGTAATAATTACATATTTATAACTAAAATAAAATTGTTTTCAAAAAATGTAATCTCATAACTATAGTGACTATAGTAGTAACTATAGTCATAGTAACTTATGTTTAACTTTTACACTTAAGTGACCATTACACTATATTATAGTAACTATTAGCCATACTTTTGACTTTTGTTCACATATAATTATAAATTATAAATACTAACATCAAGTAAGATGCGTGGCTTGAGAGAAAATGTAGACATAAAATAATAATAATAAGTTAATAACATTGTCCTTCCATAACTAAACATCTAACGGTTATGGACCATATACTAGTACTAAACAATTTTATTTAAACATAAATAAAACAGTAGAAGTGTAAAATTGACTGAAGCTACACAATAACCAAACCAATCAGCCAAGTGAACCAATTTCAAAAATTCAACACATGAAACATATTGAGTTTTCTGGGTCAATGATAGCAAATTTTGGAAAATTTTGATGGGTCAATGGACAAAGAGGTCAATCCTCTACACAAAATTCTCCTTGCACCTTGCTCTTTCTAAAGTCAAACTTTCATCTCCACCCAAGAAGTACCATTTCATTCCAGACCACTCTAATCTAAGTCTGTTTGGGTCTTCCTCTCCCTCTCATCCCTAGATCTTCTCCTCACCTCTCATTTCGTCCAACAGATGCATCAATTTGTCTTCTACACACATGGCCAAACACCACCGCAATCGAGACTCTCAATTGCTGCTCACACATTTTATCAAATTGTCTCATTTCTAAAATGAACTTTTCTAGTATGTTAGACAACCAAAGCAACATGTGCATCTCAATCACACTCATCTTTTGAATGTGACATTGTTTCATCCATAGTCACATAGTTCGCAGAACGCTTCGGTACGGGAACGAGGATCGGGAACGCGGTTAGCTAGATCTAGCATATCTGATTCGTAGGGGATAGGTTCATTTCGGTACGCGTTCAGTACGTTGTACCACATTTTCGGTATGTTGTACTCCTTCCATCCCATTGGACTTTGCCAACTTTCCCTTTTTTGTTGTCCCAAAAAACTTTGACACTTTCCTATTAAAGCAACTAATTTGTGGTTCTACACATTTCCCTCTCCTCTGCACAAATCTCAACCACACAATTTTTACTATTCTTATTTCTTACCTACTTTGCATTTGGCAAAGTTCACCGGGACGGAGGTAGTATCTTAAACTTTGGTACTATAATAAAACTGAATTACAGAATTCATAAGTCATAAAATTAAACAATAACAGATTTTATAATCATAAATTATAACATAAAACAAATTAAAAAATATTAATATTCCAGAGGAAAAATTCACAATAATAATCCGAACTATTAACGGTCTTCTCATATTAATCCCAAAAATGTGTAATTCTAGGATAATCCGAAATTCATGGATAATCTTCTCCTATTGATCCCAGGTGACCTGCTACTTGCTAAACAGGTAAAGAAATTAAAAAGTAAAAAGAAAAAAGAAAGGAAAGTAAACGGATAGAATCACGTGACTCGAGCAATCCTACGCCTTTGCCTCTAGTCATCTTCCCCATTTGCTTTTCTTTTCTGATTTCTTTTTTCACTTTCCCTGGTCTTCTTTCCCTTTTTCTTCTTCTTCTTCTTCTTCTTCTTCTTCTTCTTCTTTATTCCATTAAGATCATCATATGCAAATGTGCAATCGACGGGCATGAGGGCGTTACACTCAAGAAAGAGTTGTTCGAATGACTTGAACTGCAGACATGGTTTTTGGATCCAGGTTTGCCCTACCCATGGATTATTCTCCTCTGCTCTTTTCTTTTTTCTCTTTACCGCACGTGAATATCTCTTTCTCACCTTCAAGTTCATTTTTTATTTAGGTTTTCGGGCATGCTCAAATTTGTTCATCTTTCTTTCAATTTCAGATTTGGAAAAGTTAATTTGGACAATCCAAACTGAAATTTGACATGGCTCATCATGGGCAACGGAAAAATTTGAATGATAGTCTACTTACGTATCATGGAGACTAAGCCAGTTCGATGACCGGAAGGATGGCGACGCTGAGATGGACGGAGGCCGGCATCAAAGAACAACTGGTGGAGGACAGTGCGGAATTGTAAATTAAATTAGTAGGCCGAAAATCCATGAACATTTTGAGAGGAATAGGGCAGATCGGAAGAAGAAAGGGGGAGACGGGCGAAAAGCGGTGAGCTAATAGGAAGATGGAGAGAAGGATTTGAGGGAGCTGCGTTTTCTGAAGAGGAGAGAGATAAAAAGAAAAAGAATTAAAAAAATTAGAAATGTATAAAGCCAATCAGAATAAGACACATGGACAGGTGACCTGATGACTTGATTCATTCAGGTTAACAGTTCATTTTGAGAAGATACCCCATGTAGATTAGATTATATTAGAATTACTCATATTTGAGATTATTTTTGGAAGAACCTCAATAGGTGGGATTAATGTTGTGAATTTTTCCTCTTCCAGAAATAAAAAACAGTAATATTCCAGAAAGGAGTAAAGGACCGGAGAGAATAAAGTAGGAAAAGAAGAGCCTGGCCCTAGCGTACGAAGTAATTTATTTTCCCTCAAATTATAACACTTACAAGTTACAAGGTAACTTGATGAGTAGGATCAGATATCGAAGATCCTCGTTCGAAATTTGTACGTTGTTAGTACAGGACGGGAAACGAAGCAAAGTGCCAACCTGTCTCAAATTTGGGAAACGGCGCTTCATTCTGGTCAACGACGGGAAACGGCGTTTCCACTTGGGCAGCGATGGAAAACGGCGATGCAAATCGATTCACGTAGCGTTTGGGAGCGATTCTAAGAGCAATTGCGAGCGTTTGTGAAGAGTGAATGGGACGACTCGTCGACCGTACCGATTAGCGTTCCCATCCACGACCGGATCGATTTCATACCGCGTTTGGGTACGGAACGACCGGTACGCAGATCATGCCTTCCTCAGCGATTTATGTATCTATGGTTTCATCGTTCAACACTCTACGTCATACAATAATGTAGGCTTAGTTAACTTCAAATTTTAATTTTAATTTATGTTACCAAAACAAGAGAATGGCCAAACATACTTTTTAATAGTACAGTATAAGGCACATAAAGTCAACCTTTTTTATTGTCTAGAGGAAAATACTTAAGGGCGGGTGGGCAATGGGCAGCCCGGTGGACATTAGTTTTTCCACAAAGCGAGAGTCTTAAGAAGGGTTCCACCAAACGGGTATACCGGACAAGTCTTCCCTTGTCAATTTTTAACAAGAGGATGCTACCAAGACTGAAGTCACTGAACCCATGACCTCTCGGATACACAATGCCACCTTCATCAGTGCGCCAAGGCTCCGCTTTAGTTTGTAGGAGAATACTATGTAAAGAAAATAAAGATTAGGAAAATTGGCATACCGTCATATGTACGTGTTCTTGGATAATGCTCCTAGCCTCAACAAGTTGTGCTTCCAACTCAAGTTCTCTTTCTGTCACTTCAGTAGTTAGTTCTGCTCCTTTTTTATCATCTTGGAGCTGAAGCATACGCTCCTTCAAATTTTTAAAATCAAAGAAAATGCCAATTGATTAAATACGTTTTTTGCTACACGCCTTTCAACTAAATATAACACTTGGGAATGGCTCATAGTGAAACTCTTAAATATAGAGAAATTTAACACCTCAGGATAGCTCATAAATAAATTATCATATATTGAATCATTTGAAAACAAAGAAAAACCCGGTTGACTTATTATAGCACCTCAAAATAGCCATAAAGTTAATTCTAGAACATTGAATATGAATGTGACTACCCTAATTGAAGCCATTTTTGTACGGAGACTTTCTTCAATTTGATCTCTAGCCATGTGCAGAGGCAAATCAAACACGTCCTGAAATTACAAATCACATATCTGTTGGAATCTGCCCAACTGGATTTAACACTAATAACAAGATTTGTTCCAACAATATCATATTTTGTGGCATGTGTGAATTTGTTAGTAATTACAGTTCGTGAACAATACAATAATACGTACGGTTGTAGATAATACGATACGACTATATTAAGTAAAAATAAATGCATCTTGTATACATTCGTGACATAGATACTGATATGGACACATTTTAAATGTTCCCCGCAATTTAATAATATGGCATATAGTATGCGTCTTATATACTAATTTGATGATAAAAATAGTGAGTAGTTTAACATATGCGCCACCTTCTTGAACAATTTAAGATGTAACTTTTTCGAATAAAGGAATTTGACTTGATAGGTATATTGAGTTTTCTTGATCAATGATGACAAATTTTGAACAATAATTTTAATTATTATATTTGTATATAATTTATAAATTTTATGCTTTTATAAAAATATTTTTAATAAGGAACATTTTAATATATTTCTCATATATAAAATATATTTGTACTAAAAAATCAAATAATTCATTAAAGAATATATGTGAATTTTTCCAAATTTAAAACAAAAATCATAAACGAGAATTATATGGGGGTTATACGTTAAGCGAATTATAAGCGAACCATACTCGAATAAACTAACAAGAATGTGTGATAGTGATCTATTCCAAGAGAGATAGAGACACATACTGTTCTGCCACCCAAGGGAGATTGAGAAACATCTGATTCTAGCCTTTCATTTACTGCAGACTGTTTAGAAGCACCATTTGGAGCATTCAGGAACCCACGCATGTCTGCCTGTAGCAAAAGAAAATCTCGTGTTGCTTCTTGTTTGGCAAGGTACTTAACCTATTGACTTAAAGGTCTCTTGACAAAAGGATAAGTTAAAGAAACATATGAATAAGATATGAAGGTATCATCTACCTGCATTGAGCGTAGCAATGCTCTTAAATCAGCATTTTCTGATGCTAGTTCTTGATTTTTCACTTCATAAGCATCCACCTGTATAATTGGATGCATTTTAAGAGGCTATTCACAAAAATCATCATTTTCATTTACCCCAGTGCCGCAAAGGCTCCCACCTACTGTGGGGTAAGGGGGGTCGGATATACGCAGTCTTACCCCTGTATTAAAGCACAGAGAGACTGTTTCCGGATGACTCATAGTGAAAATCCCGTCCAAAATTACATGGACTGAATGCTGCTTCATAACAAAGAAGCGCAGACAGTTTAGAGAGACAATGAACCTTTGGCTCCATTGCAAATGATGAAAAAAGGCTATTCACAAAAATACTGGGTCAAATAGTGCATGTTTGGCGGGCATAAGTCTCTGCCTTCTAGCTTTTGTACTATTTAAAAAGTCTCTAAAACCTTCTAGTTATATGTTTGGCATGACAAAATTTAAGAGTTTTTCAAAAAATAAAAGATCTTTTTTGAGATGCTACAAGGAGTAGCATCTGAGAAAAGTCTGTGGCTTTTAGTATTTATTAGTCTTAATAGCTTATATACCAAACAGAACTAAATCAAACAGTCAGCTTTTTACCAAATAGCTACCACCTTTTTCTTTTAAGATCTTTTCAGTCAATAAAAGCTAACAGTTACTAAAAAACTTACAAACGTATCTTTTCAGTTAGTTGTGCCAAACATACCCATAGACCCTTCTACTATTTTCAATCCGTCACGTAAGCTCTTCTACTAAAAAAGGCATCAAATAAGTATGCTTACTTTTAAAAAAATAAAATTAGGACTTTTGATAAATCTTATAAAAATCTTATAAATTTAAAATAATTTAATAGAAAATAATAATTTAAAAATTCATAATATAATAATAATAGAATAAAATACCATAATAGTATTAATAGATAAATAATTTAAAAACGTTAAAATAAACACATAAAAATCAAAAAACTGAAAAAATAAAGTGAAAATGTAAAAAATATAAAATATAAAAAGTAAAAACCTTTTATATAGATGTAGAATTTACAAATAATTTCAAAAAAAATCACAATTTTTATTTATATTTCTACAAATTTTACTCTGTAACAATTTTTTAGAGTTTTTTAATATAAAAAACCTGTTGTTTAATTGATAAATGGCCAAATTGATCAATTTTTAAAACAAGTGTACTTATATGACACTTTTTTTAGTACAAGGGCTTAAGTGAGGGATTGAAAATTATAGAAGGGTTTATTTGATCATTTTCCCAATAATATTGATGACCCTTATATAGCTATTACAGGAGTCCTAATGATAAAAGCAAATAACTGTTAATTATGAAGTCGTGTAAAGCAGAATAGGAATAATTATCAAAGGAGGTAAAAGCTAATTGTAGATTATTACAGATAATTACTCATCCGATTTAGCATTTATGAGGAGATATCTTAGAGATCTCAGAATCTCTAAATATCTCCAATTATCTTGTCTTTATTAGGGAATCTTAATTAGGAGGATTCCTTCCTTATTCCACTTTTCTCTAGCTATATATATTTTGTATTCATCTCATTGTATTACATAGAATAAGAGAAATAAAATACATTTTACTTTCTCAAGTTATTTCTACATGGTATCAGAGCGTGGTTATTCTCTAAAATGATTAAGTTCGGATCATATGGGATGACCACCGAGAGAGATGGATCTATCCCAGTCACCTCTGAACATTCAGAGGTTGTCCCAACCGGAGATGGCAGCAACCAGAATATCAATGGAAGCACAGTCACCACTCCTAATCAGTCAGATTCGATTATTACTTGCCATAAACTGAATGGAAGTAATTATCTACAATGGTCTCAGTCCGTTATGATGTATGTGTGTGGAAAAGACAAGGAGGACTATTTGATAGGTGATGCACCTGCTCCAGATCAAGGAGATCCAGACTACAAGAAGTGGAAAAAGGAGAATTATACTGTGATGTCATGGCTCATCAATTCCATGACAACCAGTATAGGAGAAAATTTCCTACTATACAAAACAGCTCAAGAGATCTGGGAGGCTGCGAAAGAAACATACTCAACTTCAGATAACACTTCTGAATTATTTGAGGTAGAATCAATGCTACATAACCTTCAGCAGGGAGAATTGAGTGTAACTCAATACTTCAACAACCTTGTGAGACTCTGGCAGCATCTTGATGTGTTTGAGACATACAATTGGTCATGTTCTAAGGATAAGAAGTTATATCAGGAGATCTGTGAAAGGAAGAGAGTCTTCAAATTCCCGTCAGGTTTAGACAAGAGTCTGGATGAGGTTAGGGGCAGAATAATGGGAAAGAAACTCACCCTTAGAGAAGCCTTCTCAGAAGTCAGAAGAGAAGAAAGCAGAAGGAAGGTAATGATGGGTCTGAAATCTCAAGGCCAACAACAAAATATTGAAGGGTAAGCCTTATATACCTCTTCCAGACAGAATGAAAACAAGAAAAAAGGGAGGCCATGGTGTGATCATTGTAAGAAACCAGGCCATACCAAAGAAACATGCTGGAATTTGCATGGTAAACCTAAAGATTTCAAACCAAGCAAAGGGAAAGGAGCCTATGTAGCTACTGGAGATAAAGAAGATATGGGCACTTCTAATCTTGTTGCATTTACCAATGAGCAGATTGAGGTTCTTCAACACCTAATAAGTCAGAGCAAGGGGCCTGCACCATCAACTAGCCTTACTGCTCAGACAGGTAATGCCTTAACAACCCTAGTTGCACACAATCAGCCCTATTGGATTGTTGATTCAGGGGCATCAGATCACATGACTGGAGACAGTAAGTTTTTTGATGAATTGATCCCTATGAAGAATAAGGTAACTGTGAAGATTGCTGATGGAACTACTTAAGCAATAAAAGGGACTAGAAGAGTCAAAATTTCTGACAAGATAGTGCTTAACAATGTGTTATATGTTCCAGATTTAAAGTTTAACCTCTTATCAGTCAGTAAACTGAATAGTGATACGCATTGCCTAACTAAATTGTCTTCACAATTGTGTGAATTTTAGGATTTGGATTCGAGGAGGATGATTGGCAGTGCTAAGCAAAGTGGTGGACTCTATCTTCTGGAACATTCACCACATTCACCCAACTCCACCAACAAGACAACTTCCAGTGAGAGTCAATTCAACCATAAGTTCTTAGGGAGTCTTAGTAGGAGTCAATTTGATACTCAAATTCAGTTATGGCATTATCATCTTGGTCATCCTAATGTCTTGTGCTTAGAAAAAATATTTCCTTCATTATTCATAAATAAAAGTTCTGCCTTTGATTGTGAATTTTGTCAACTTGCTAAACATACTAAAAGTCACTATCCCAGTCTACCTTACAAACCATCTAAACCTTTTTCTCTCATCCACAGTGATGTTTTGGGCCCATCTAAGGTCAAAAATCTCACTGGCTCAAGGTGGTTTGTTCTGTTTATTGATGATCATACACATCTATCCTGGGTCTTCCTCATGAAAGATAAGTCAGAAGTCAATATTATCTTTCAAAAATTCTATTCTATGATCAAAACTCAGTTTCAAACCAAGATTCAGGTTTTTAAAACCGATAATGCCAAAGAATATTTTTCATCCAATTTAGGAGAGTTTCTGTCAAAAAAGGGGATTATACACATTAGCTCCTGTGTTGACACCCCACAACAGAATGGGGTGGCAGAAAGGAAGAATAGACACTTACTGGAAGTTGCTAGAGCCCTTATGTTCACCACTCACACTCCTAAACACTATTGGGGAGAGGCTGTCCTAACTGCAGCTTACCTGATAAATAGGATGCCCTCCAAAACTCACAAATTTAAAACACCATACCAAATCCTATCTTATCAACATCCTCACATCCCTATTACCAATCTTCCACCAAAGGTCTTTGGTTGCAAAGCATTTGTTCACAACCATTCTCCAGTTAGGTCAAAACTGGATCCTAAATCCTTACCTTGTATATTCATAGGATATGCTGCCAACCAGAAAGGATATAAATGTTATTCTCCTGCCATCAAAAAGGTCTACATCACAATGGATGAAACCTTTTTTGAAAATCAGCCTTTCTATTCCAAAATTGAATTTCAGGGGGAGAACCACAATGAAATCCCGTCTTTGAATCCTATTTCAGACACTATTCCAGACCTCCAAGAATCTGAATCTAACCACACTGAATCCATACTCCCAGACAGACCTGAATCAAACCCTCCAGACAATACAGTCTCTCCACCAGCCACACAATTTCAGCCACCAACTTCATCACCCCAATCATTACCCAAAAATCCTACACTAAATCAAAAATCCCCATTCTACAAGAATACATATAAGCGGAAACCTAGAACCAGAGTTCCAGAAGAAGAGCACATCACTACAATTAACACCACCCAATCATCTGACTCAAATTTGAGTCCTGATGACAAAGAGGTTGAGGCTATAGAAGGAGATGATGAGGAACCAGACTTGCCTATGGCTATCAGAAAGGGAGTAAGGGAGTGTACCAAGCATCATATCTACAATTTTGTTTGTTACAAGAAACTATCAGCAAACTATCAAACTTTTATTTCAAAGATTGATAGTATTCATTCAGGTTCCTAACAACATCAAGGAAGCCCTTGAACATCCAGGGTGGAGGAAGGTTGTCCATGATGAATTAGCAGCATTGAAGAAGAATGGAACTTGGGTGCTTACAGATTTGCCAGCACGGAAAAGAACTGTTGGCTGCAAGTGGGTATTTACAGTTAAATATCAGGCTGATGGAAAGATTGAAAGGCTGAAGGCAAGGCTGGTTGCTAAGGGGTTCACCCAAGCTTATGACATTGATTATTCAGAGACATTTGCACCAGTGGCAAAGTTGAACACCATTAGAGTGATGTTATCACTCGCAGTGAACCTAGACTGGCCATTACATCAACTAGATGTTAAGAATGCCTTTCTTAATGGAGACCTAGAAGAGGAAGTATTCATGGATGTACCACCTGGATTAGAAGACTTGGGAAAATCTGGTCAGGTTTGCAGACTGAAAAAGTCCTTGTATGGACTAAAGCAGTCTTCTAG